CATAATTATTTACTTCAACGATAAAGTCGTGAGGGGCAATGGACATTATTTCCAAGTCCTCAAGAGAAGGTGATGGAGGTTTTCCGCCACCCCCGGTCTTTGATTGTTTCCTCCTATATGTGTATAAGTTTGATTTAGCACACAACTTCGTTCTTTTCCAAGATAATTTCAATTCACCATCTGATCGGCGTTTACCTGTTATCTCATTAAATCTAAAAAAAAATACGAAATCACGTAAACAATACCATACCTATTTGTACACATAACAAATGCGATAAGTACTTACTTATTAGTTATATTCTTCCACTCTTTTATTTTTTGAATATTTACCGATGTTTTTGTCGACTTATTCTCTATTATATGTGCTGATTGTGAAATAAGTGTACGTAATATTTCCTATAATAATAAGAACATTCCTTTTAGTTGAAATAAGGATAATAGGAGGATAAGAGTATTGCTACGTACTGACAAATTTCGATATTTCACTAACTTTTTCTTCAGAACTCCAATTTTCACCCCGTTTTTTCTTTTGTTCCATTATTATATAAATATAACTGTAATAGCAAGTACTTAATTAATTATTAATAATTTAATTTACTTATTATAAGGCTGCAATATAAACTATTTTGAACGTCTCAAATCCCGCGCTCGCGTTACCTCTGTAATTCACTACATTTCACGCTAGAGTTGTTAAACTGAAAACAACTTGATATAATCAAAAGCGCGTCAAAAGTATATGTCGTGCTTGTTCAATAGATTTTAACGTAAACAAATAACAATGTATGATATGTTTTTGTATTGATGGATAATTATTTAAGCATAATTAAATGTGAAAATAATATTAATATTTTATGAAACCGAACGTTGCATTGAATGAAACCTGTATGAACGAATGATAGAGTGTCATTTTTTGTTTTTTATCTGTGAATGATATTTAATATAATACTAACGTTGGTATTAACTGGTCCTCGGGTAGTCTGCGTTTTGTAATAAGCACACGTTTTAGTGCTGGTATTAACTAGAATATTGTAACAAACCTGGACTTCTTACTCCTAAACTTAACCCAGTACTAAAACATTTTTTTGGAATAAGACTGATAGTAAATAAACTGAGTGAAACGTGGTTTTTAAAACGAATTGTTTGTTATCGATTTCTATTTAATACGTTAGCTGCTATGTCAGTTACTTTTTATGGAGTATTAAATTCAAAACATGGCTGACGGTATGTAAGTCGTGTTAAAATTAAATAAATTGGTCGGTCAATAATCCATAATTTATATATTTACGGGAATTATATGAGCTGAGTTCCATTTATATTGAATTTAGCTTATAACATGAATGCTCTTTAAAAACTTTAAAGTTCATAACTTCGACTGTTCGGTAGCGCAGTTGCTAAGCGTTTAGCTGAGGCGCTGTGGAGCCGCGAGCTTGAATTTCGCACGGAACATAAGTGTTTATGTGTTAAACTTCTAAGCTCGTATTATATAAAACGTCTTTACGATATTGAAGATAATCTCAATGTGGGGATATGGTATATCAGAAGAAAATTAATGTTACACCATATACATCCCACTCCTAGGCACAGGCCTCCTTACATTTCTGAGAGGGTTTCAGAGCAAAAAAATGGCTACCGCACTGGCCCGGTGCATGTTTGCGGGCTTCACATGTCTTTGAACAATTTTTTTAATTTATCGAGATTCAGGTTTTCTACTTCTGTGATGTGTTGCGTGGTATATCACCACTTAAAATTACAATTAACAATTTCACTATACTATACACTTTACTGCGACCGATAAGTTCCTCAGTTACCACGGCTGTTTTTAGAAGAAAAGACAAAAGTATAATACGTAAATAGTATCTCAACATGAATGTTGTAAATTTTTTTTGTTAACAACACAAATAATTAGAGTGAAATGTGATAGCCCACTAAATACTAAGTAATTACTGTAAGCCCGTGGCCATCAATAACCCACTTCAAACAAAGAAGGCCACACATATTCAGTCAGCTCTGAGATCTAAGATGGAGTACCTTGCAACCTGTAATAATACTGCCTCTCCTCCCCTTCGCACCGAAACACAGCGTTGAACAACATTGCTGATTAGCGGAAGAGATAGTAACCAGACTGACTCTGAGGCATAAAAATAGCTCTACATCTAGTATTTTTATATATTATTACCAGTGTTTTTTTATTTATTTTATTTTTATTTATTTATTACAAAAACAGTAACAGCATCATAACAGTACAAAACCAAGACGATGCTGTACAAAAACCAAACAATAAGTGATAAATAAAAAATGTGGAATGCTTCACGATTTTGCGTGTCATCCTTGCGCAGGGACCTGCTAATCTTCTCTGTATCGTTCCAATTTTAGTATATGTACTGCCGAAGCAAGTACATAGTACACAGTGTTAAATATGTAATACAATCAACTTTTATAAGAATTCATAAAACAAGTTGCTTTTAAGGCGGACATTTACTTAAGGGGTCATAGACACTAGGGTCAAATAGTCAAGTAGAGTCAACGTATAAAATCGTAGATAAAAAGTTACTCGTATCTATGTTTTAATACTATTAGCTACCATCTTTAATAAGCCTCGCCTTAACGTTACTCACTTATGCAACCCTAATACAAAGAGGTTTTAATCTTATCTTGCAACCAATACATTGGGATCATAGTTAGTAGTTAGTACACCATAGTGTATTATGTAACTCGTATCTCTCAGTCGTATAATATCAGTTTAATACGATGTGCCTACCCTGTCCAATTATCAGCCAACGATGGTAATTGGATGGTGACGTATTAATCAAATTCAGCCATTAGTAGAGAATAGAATAGAATATAATTATTTTTATTCAATATAGGTTATTACATAATACTTATTGAAAGTCATTTTTTTTATTTATCGCTGGTTCAAAAATACCTCTTTCCTGCGAAGAATCAGCAAGAAACCCAGCCTGACTTTTTTTTTAAATACGTACATAATTTTTTTCTATACTTAATACTTTGCGCGCAATTGGCACTTGGCCTATCCTATATATATAGGAAATCAATTGAAGTAGGTTTTCATAAAACAAAAAAATCTGGATTGCTGATGCAGGATTTTTTAACCAATTATTACAAGTACAATTACACTGAAGAACTGGCAAATACTAGGACTGATTAGGAGTATTATACACCTTGTACAACAGACAAAGTGATATCAAACATTACTACTTTACATAGATAATGGTTACGACTAAAAAGTAACAATTACGAACACATTGAGTAGGTGTAAGAATGCGCCGAATAACAGCGACGCTACTTTGTCTCGTAAATTCGTTAGAGCCAGTCGAACAATAAGGCAACGTGAGGGCGGGCGGCGGTACTCCCGCGTCCCATAAACACGTCAGCAGACGGCGCGCGCCCGCACAGATTGCGGCCCGACTGATAGCGAGCAGCCCACGCGTCAAGCCACCACGCCACCTAACGATTACTCACTAACAACCTCCTGCGCCTGTCCGCTCGTCCGCGCCCGAACCAATATATGTATATATTTATACATATATTGTAGTGTAGTTACCAAACACTGTCGTAGACCAATATTTAAAAACAAATCGAGGCGAGATAATCATTCATTTCATATATTCTCAGTCAATTCTTCAAATCTACCGTGTGTGGCTAAGCCTTTAGTTGTAGGCCTCGCACCTAACAAGTATTTGTGCGACCTACGAATAATTGTTACAAGTGTGAGCGTTTGTCCACGTGCAATTTATGTATGTAAAATGCCTTCAAAGAAGATACAGAGGTAATTCCTAGTGTATGGGTATTTATTAAAAAATATTGAGCAATGAACCTTGGATTAGCAAAATTCCAGGAATAACTAACTAATAAAAGGACGAATGTCGATCTCAATCGGAGCTAAAATTTTAAAGCTAAGCTTGTACACTCCTGCATCCTGCAAGCTTGATTGTGAATGTGGTCTCTCTTACATAGGACAAAATAAAAGACCAATAAAAACCCGCGTAATAAACAACACATACTGTGAACACGTATAGGATCGCCCGCGTCATTTCGTCAGATTAGATAAACCACAAATCTTCACTAAAGAACACCGATTTCTTCCAAGAATGAGGTGAGAGGCGAGGATAATTTCAATAGAGAAGATGGCTGGGTGCTACCATCTCCTTGGGATCCTATAGTTAATAAAATGTAATCCCAACCCAAGCATACAACTGGAGAGAGGTCAGGCGCAGGATCAACAGCTTTACATGCTCAAAAGAATACGATATACAGAAACACAGTACAAATTAGAAATTGGAACAATGTGCTCCTTTACTACTAGTACTGGTAGTACGGAGACGTGTAACAGTATCTACGTCTTTTTCTCTCTCTATTCCCTCACTCCCATCGGACTATGGGAGTGAGGGAATAGAGAGTGCACCTGTGCTTGCGCATACACTTGGGCACTACTACTATAGGACATGATATTATTTTTTAATATACTTGCAGTAGCAGATATGACAATGATGTTTTTCCGACCGTTTCTGGGCTAAAAATTCCAGCAATTGTTGGAGATTATCAATAGTGCAGGGAATAACATATAAGGTCATGATTGTATGATTAATTGTAGATGCACTCATTCGTCACCCTAGCCTATCTAGATATATATTTTTGCAAAAAAAAATTGACAGCAGGCTGTGTTTGCTGTGCTTTGTTATATACTATGTGTCGTGTAATATATCAACACTATAAGAATAACTTTAACACATCCAAACTCTAACACCTACAATTTGTCCAAAAATTGTATTTTTGCACAAATGCTGTCTTCGACTGGGTTCAAACCCAGCGACTTTATTAAACACTGACCACCAAACCACGTCACGATCAAATGCATGGCTGCAAAATAAATTTATGTTATCAATGACGCCCTTGCGTTAATATCTTAATCGAAATCTCCACAACCTTTATCCACAATTACCTGTAGACAAGATTAATGACGGTCTTTTGTTTTATTACAGACACGAAGAACAGCATCGGTCTCGCGGGTTGCATCGAAGAAGTGGCGCACAACGCCATTGCAGTCTACTGGAACCCTCTTGAAAGCGCTGCTAAGGTACAAAACTTCGATATCAAAAATACTTTTTCTTATTCTGTTCTAATGATATCATGACATATTTCTTTTGGGTCGCTACTAGATAGAAAATTTACATTAATAAGCCCTGTCGACAATCTATAAATGCTAGCAACCTCTGGTTTGTATGTTACATGTTTCATTATAAACTTTATGTTCACTGGTTGACTTGTATGGGCTGTAGTAATAATAATAAATTATGGCATATAAATTAATTAAAGCCAAAAATATTCATGGTGTTATAAATATAATATAGCTTTAATTGTCATTTGAGTACGCGGTTACTAACACAGCATAATTTATATGATTTTTTTAAATAAATTATATACCTACTCAAAGTCAAGCATCTTATTCGCTGTCGCTACCCAACGTTATATAGGTACGTTTCATTTATTTTCATTTGTATTATTTTAGCATTTTAATGTAGCATTGATAGACTAAAATGATGACAACATTATTATAATATTAAACATGCCAAATTTTAAGTAACACTTGAGAAGTGTTTTATTATTTAATGGATAGTGATTAATTTTCTATCCAATTTTAGATAACATTTATTATCTTAGTATAACTATAACCGCATGATTTACATTAATGATGTTAAATAAACGAAAAACGGAGAAAATAAGTTATTAGAAAACCGCGTATTGAAGAAGTTGCGCGTATAAGCATTAAATTACCTCCGGCATTCATAAATATGCACATATATTAAGAGAACATATTGTAGATATGCACGGTTCTTCTTATTTTAAGAAATTAAAATGTGGATCATGATTTTATTGCGCTAATTAAGGATCAATTTAATTGAAGCCTGTATCCATATTCGGTCGTTGTCCGCCGCGCAAAAAATGGTTACTGCACAAAGTATAAAAGAATCCCATACCATACCGTGAACGTGCAGCATTGCCAGGCATTATTATTATAATTAAACTAGCATCACAGTTTTTACTGAAGTTTTGCTCCCTTTCTTAATTCTTGGGAAAATTTATATTAACAAAAACAAACACGCAGTAAGCGAAATAAAATCGATTAATTAAAATTTGCTATATTTGAAATTTTCCCATATTATGTATGTATGAATAGTAAATAACTTTGACTAACGTATTTAAAATTACAACGAAATTAAATTTTTTGGATAAAAGCTGAAGCTTATGTCTATGGGTACATTACAGAAAATTATGTATATTTTTTTATAATGATATTAAGAAACTTTTCGATACAAGAACAAATAACCTGTTTGTTTATATCCGGTGACCGGACGAATAATTCAATTTTCTCGACTATTTGAATTTTGTTTTGCTTTTAATTATCTATATCCATATCTATACAAATAAATTAAATTGAAGTGTCTGTGTGTAATGTCAATACAGCTTTTTACTAAATGCATATGAAAGTATATACGGCACTTACAACAAAAACACAATTTTTTTCTGTCTATTAAAATTTTGTCTGTCTGTTTTTAAACTAGGTTTAGCCGGCTACAACTATATTAGTGTAGCCGATTGCAGTAGGTAAAACTTAGGCATATTCGATTTATTTATAGTACGGGTATTGTCAGAAGAAATGATAAACTTAGGTATATCTAGGTTTAATTAATAGAATCTTAACAAGTTAATTTTTAACATGCTTAATATTATCTAGGTTTGTCAGAATTACTTATGCTTTCTAGACGAACACCAAATCACTATCACTATCACTACAGTCTATCACAAATCCACTGCTTATCACAGGCCTCCCCATAAATTACCACAAGGTACTGCCGCGGCCACTTGCGTCCACCAACTACCTTTGTATTTCATCAGGTCGTCCTCCATCTAATGACAGTCGCCCAACACTGCACATTCCAATACGAAGCTGCCAAACATTTTTCCCACATCGGTGATTAGTTCTTAGAAGCTATATGACCGGCCTATTACCGCTTCATGATCCGCCGGGTTATGTTAGTTACTCTGGTTCTTCTGTGGATATCTTCGTTAGGGATATCATATGGAAAATTTCATTCATCATTTCATAGAGAAAAATTCTAAACATAGTCCTCTAAAACTCCAAATAATTTAAATTTTTACATATAAGTGAAATTGAAGTGCCTGTCTCTCATTTCGAAATAGCTGTCCTTTATCGAGCACGAGGATTATTTGCATGGCATATAGACGTGAATTAATAATTTATAAAAATTTTGTCTGTCTGTTCGGGCTAATATTCATAAAGACTGAACCAATTGTAATGAAACTTCACGAATAGATAGAGGGCAATGCCAGAAGTGATCTAGGGTGTATTTTAGCCATAAAACTTTGAGTATTTTTGTGAAATCGAAAAATCTATAAAATAAATGGTCACTGATGATTATTTAAGAAAAAATATAAATGACGCCACGGTAAAACATACCACCCAGGCTAGACTGGAGCGTGTCGCTAGTATTAAATATAAATACCGCGCCACTCTGCCCAAGTGCCACCCCTACCGCGACCTTACCTACTGACGCAAATATTGCTTTCGTATTTATGACAATTACAAAAATCAAAGTTATTTTGATTTTTTCGAAATTAGTCTAATTTTACTCGAAAGTAACCGCCTACAACCATGTTTAGCCAAGAATTAATTGATTACACCTAAGTTTAATCAACCGCCATCGGCTGCACCTAAACTAAACCGCTAATCTCTAATAGCCGGATAAATAAAGTAATTCGTCCTGTCAACATATCATTAGTTACTTCGGAACCAAAACGACGTGAAAGAATAATGATGCATTAGTATCTTACCAGTACACGTTTAAGTTATTAGTTATTTAGAATGTACTTATTAGCATTGTGCAATATGAGAGAAGAACAATAGACGATCGGGGTATAAGCGTGCTCCTTAGAATTCCACACAGTACACAAATAAACCGAGTTCAATCCGTCCGGCCGCTATGAAATTTTTGTTGCAATTTTAAGTGTTAATTTACCATGTTTTCGGATGTAAAGAGAAAATTTGAATGTCTGAGAGATTGAAATATATTCGAGGCATCATAGGAGCCAATATGTATAGGAGCATCGTGGAGGACTTTTTAGTATTCCAAAAATTCTCTCTATTTTTTTTATAAGATAAGGGTGACAAACGAGCACACAGTCCACCTGATGGTAAGTGGTTGCTGCGGTCCATAGACTGCATCTATCCTCGATTACAAATCAAAACGCAGATCCGTCGACACCCGTAAGGACTAAGATGGAATGTCTCGTTTCCGGTAAAATGGGTCTCCGGTTCTCTACACTCACCATACGAAACACAGCAGCGTTAAGCTGCTATTTTACGCTGGTATTCTGTGAGAGCGTGGTCATTCCCCAGTCGAGCCGACCAATTTATGCTACATTTATACTACTAATATAGCTACACCATGGCTCTACCACGTAAAACCCACGTTTTATATTTAAAAAAAGATACCCCTGCACTAGGATTTTTCCTGTATCTAGAATGCAATTGGTAGTTAGACTCGTAACAATTATTTGTAGACCATATAAATAATTTTTCCCTTCAGGATAAATGAGAAAAGGTTATGCCGAGCTATAGGACGTATATATAGAATGTACTTGCCGACTATAATATACGGTATGACCGACCGTACTGTGTACTCCAAAACAATATAACTTAAGGTAAAACAATAAAACTGAAATTCACGTGGCATTTTAAAACTCACTAAAACTATCTAAGGTAACTGTGGATCGTTTATATCGTATTCCACTCGTATAACATGCGATCGATAAGTTGTTATCAGTAATTATTAATTATCAAACAGAAAACCATAGCGGATGCAAGTCGTTTGCGACAGTTAATATGGCTCCTGACAGTGATCGGTGGCAGTGTCGGCAGCGAGTAAAAACTCTAGGGGGTCATTTGCATAGAGCGGGTAATGAGCGGCTGTGAGCGACTTAGCGCAGCCAGCGCCTCACTCTTACTGGCTGCTACATAAAAAACACCGCACACTGTATATTAATATAGCTATATAATACCGAACAGCCTATGAGTTTTATTAAAACCTTCCCGGCTATTAAACTTTTTTTGCATTTGCGGAAGAGTGCGTCACATGGGCGTTGAATGGTCGGAAAGTTACCATATATGTATGTCTCTAAAGTAACAAAAGGATTAGTTTTATATAAATGTAATCAAGAATTATTTTTCGTTTTCAGATTAACATTGCAGTTCAGTGCCTGAGTACGGACTTCAGCAGTCAAAAGGGTGTTAAGGTATGCATAATACAGTTAATATTTCAATTTATGGTAAAAGATATATTTATTATTTTTAGGCAAATATAACACAAACATGGTATTCTTCCAATTTCAGAAGTCCAAATTTCAACATATTATATACTGTTTGAAAAAGATCTTTGTGTGTCTGTGTAAAACTATCAATATAATGCTGTGTGTACATAAACACGCACGCACACACACATACACTCTCACACACAAGCATGTGCGCACGTAACACGCACGCACACACGCACACACACACACACACACACACACACACACACACACACACACACACACACACACACACACACACACACACACACACACACACACACACACACACACACACACACACACGCAAACACAAACAGTGAACTTTTTCGTTTCGCATATCTTGAGAGTAAATGATAGTACCGATTTCAAACCAATTTCATTCCAAAACATAATTGCGTAGCTTGAATAAGTTTTCCTTGAATTTGAATTTGCCTTTTTCAAACAAAAAATGTAACTTGAACTACACCCAAACCTACTTAATATTTTTTTTTATATTTTTTATTACACATTCGAAATTTTTCCAGTGGTTTATTTATACTCTCTTATAAACAATAAAATGTCCGTAATTTTATAGCATAAAATATTTATTAAATATTCTACAAAAAATGTAAGTTAAAAATACAACGTGTCGTCTACGTTAATTATGAGGTCGGTAACCGCGATGCCGGCGGAAACGTCCCTATAATACTTTCCGAAGACGCCTACAGGATGCGACGACATTGCGAAAGGCGCGGGTGAGACAGCGATTCTTTTACCACTCCGCTTACTCCTATTACTCATACCACGTGGCTGATAGCGAACCGGTCCGCTATCACGCTCTCAGTTACTAATCCAACGTTTGGTGACGCCGCATCGTTGACCTCGAATCGACGCAATTAAGACGTTTTAACGCGATTCGATTCAGACACGTGCATGATTTTCCTTATTCGTAAATTTATCGCAATTATCCCTTATGGACGTTTATTAAAAATCTGTTTTCGTTACTATACTTGGATAAGTGTACATTTTAAGCGTGAAATAGTTTTAACTTTAGTCAAAAATGACTTAAATTTTAGTCACAATAATTAGCTGACTGGCTAATTAACTATGGCGATTAAAAATGTAATGTAATTACAAGAAAAAACACAGACTAATATAATATTTTGCAAATGACATTATGTTAATTAGTTACCTATTATATAGTTTTAATAAGATTTTAATATTGAATCTTTTTTACAGGGACTACCCCTTCACATTCAAATTGATACATTTGAAGATCCAAGAGACACGCAAGTTTATCACAGAGGATACTGTCAAATAAAAGTGTTTTGTGACAAGGTAAGGCTAATATACATTGCTGTTAAATAATTTTTTTGTTAAACATTAACGCATTTCGTAACATTTGTATTTTTATTTCCATTTTTTTTTCATTGTTGAAGGGCGCTGAAAGAAAAACTAGAGACGAAGAGAGAAGAGCAGCAAAAAGAAAATTATCAGCTACAAATAGAAAAAAGCTTGATGAAATATATCACCCTGTGACAGAACGAAGTGAATTTTATTCTATGGCAGACCTCACGAAACCCCCAGTGCTGTTCAGTCCAGCTGAAGATATTGACAAATTAGCTGGAATGGATATTCAGGGTTTCTATGGTCACGATGAAGCAGCCTTAGCAGAAGCTCATCTAAAGGGAGCATCACCTTTCTTATTACATGCGGCGAAACCGCAAGTGCCTGCTTTGAAATTTCATAATCATTTTCCACCAGATGCACCTGCGTGAGTATAATAATGCTGTGACAGTTTGCAATAAAAGAAGTCTTTGTTATATGTACTAAATGAAGATTTATTCTTTGTTACAGGTACCGATCAGATGTCGGTGGACTATCTCCATACAGCGATCGCAAAGACTCCCTTGAATTAGAGGGCGTGCTGGGAAAACGTGCGCGCACCAGTACGCCGCCCCTTAGCGAACGCGTCATGCTGTACGTCCGTCAGGACACTGACGATGTGTACACACCACTTCACGTTGCACCGCCCACCACGCAGGGCTTGTTACACGCTGTAAGTCTCTTTTATTACTAGACATGCTTGATACGTCACATTGACGAATAAATTTATTCAGAACAATGTGTCAAAGTTACGTATCAAGAATGCAACCGCCCTATGGTGAGCACGAGAATAACCTTGGTGATGTAAGCTAACCGCAGCGTACGGGTGAGCGAGACGGACACTGCTGTCCTCTCGGTTGCCCGTCGTGTCGATATTCGTTTATGAACGTATTATATTCTGAATGAATGTTAACCGTAAACGAAAGGAATCGAGACGCTTCGTCCACACTGCGGGTGTCGGCCGGCGTAACGCCGGCTGCTGCCCGTAGTGCCGCTGTAACCGATGTGGCGCTTTATAACCCCGTCTAATACTTACAACACACGATCATCATAACTGCATGTTGTAATTAACACCCGCGCGGCCGGCCGCTGCATCGACATCAGACCGCTCATGTGGTCCACGCGATTTCAAATTTTCAAAATGTCCTTGTAAAACCACTAGACCGGTTACTGAGCCTACGTCGATCCGTTAGACGAGACGTCTCGGTTTAAAAAACCAAAGGCCCATTGTAATTCTTTTTATTTTTTGCTCATTTTCAGATTGAGAATAAGTACAAAATTTCAAGTTCGGCAATTAATAATCTTTATCGAAAGAACAAGAAAGGGTAAGTGGTTTTCATTGGCCTCAGACAGTTCTATAAACACATACCGGCCGCCTCGCGTTAATAAGGCCCCGCTTGTCCTGAGAGCGCGCCACTAACTTCACAATGCTTGATTTACGAAAAGTCCCAATAATTTGTATGCTTTGTAATAGATAACTATAATAATTTGTTTAATTCCTCAATGCAAACCCGAAACCTTCCAGACTTTTTATAAAAAGCAGGCATATTTCCCACATTAATAGAAATTAAATTAATCTAGAATATAATTAATTTTATCTAAGCAATATTACAAAATTTTAACATTGAGTTTTATTTTTGCAATACAATTTATAATGTGTCTAACCTCAACTTATTTCAGGATTACGGCCAAAATTGATGATGAAATGCTGGCGTACTACTGCAACGAGGACCTATTTCTCTTGGAAGTGCGGCCAGCAGGCGCCAGCGAAGACGAGCCCTTGTACGACATAACATTCGTGGAGCTGCCGCTTGACCACTAGCGCTGCACTCGCGCCCCGCACGCCAGCGGTCACCACTTTGTCTTACGGTCACGCAACTTAACATCGCCTGCTCATTGCGCTCTCTATTAATTCACACTTACGTGAAATGTTTGATTATTCTGATTATCCGTGGCGGATTAAGCGAGGGGTCGTTCAAACATTCCCATCTTACACTCATTATTTATATGATAAGGTCTCAAAAGTTGTCGATCTCAGATTGAAATTTAATATTAAGTGTTTCATGACCATATTTTTGTCATAGATAAAACCGAATGTCACAAATTGTTGTTAGTCGTTAAAGAAACGGCGGTCGATAGAGGGACCAATTTGTAAATATCTAATTTAGTGCCTTATGAAATTACGATACATCGTACAACGGTTTAGTGATGGCAGGTAACATTTTGATGAGAAGAAGTAGAAGTATGTTGTAATGATTATTGTAACTGGAACCGTTTTGTTTAAATTTGCAATATAATTTACTGTACATGTATATGAAAAATGATTTGCTGCTTAGATGAATTAAAACGTGTGTGCCATTCACTCGATTAACATTCTAGATTGTAGTTATCGTCTCAACAGGTACCTTTTAATCTTGCCATGATGATAAAATAAGAAATTCTTGTCACAAACATTTTATTATATGTAGATAACCCATCTACAATATATAAGGAGAATAAAGTGCCTTTGAAATAATAATAATGTTATTATCTTTTATTATAAGTGAGTTAAGTCAAATTAAATGCCATCCACTTTGTTAAGTTTTATAAGTAAGTTTGCTTTTATAAGCTCGCTCAATACATTCATTTAGTAAAGTTGATAATAGTTTTAAGATCGAAAACTTATTCAGTGATTATGCAGAACACCAGCGGTTGCTTCACATAGGCTAGAAAATATTAGTCCATTTTATTCTATTTTTTATTCTTGAACAAATAGCACTCACCTTGCCAAATATTATGAGAGCTGACAAACGGAAGTAATAAAATTGATTATTAAATTTTCAAATGAATCACAACCGCCATTTTGTAGAAGTATAATTTACATAATAGTCATATCAACGTAGTCACAAAGTTCATTCTGAAACATTAACATAATCATTGTCGGGAGTGGTATGTGTACGATTAAGGTTTTATTTGATTAAATAGTTTTTATTATTTTAATATTTTCGATTCATTACGTTAGTGGTCGGGCCATGACAAAAAATAACAACGTGACCAGAATTGTTGTCCCATAATTATTCTTTGATGTTAAATGATAACATGCAATTTTTTTATTGTAGTAATTCATATTGTTTTGATGACTAATGTAAATGAAATCTGCTGAGTATAAAACAAGAACAAACCATTTTGACAAGTTTATCAGAATTATTTTCCAAGGTTTGTTATTATATTAAGTATATTTCCACCGATTAATTCGAAATTCAGAACCAGGTTCTGTTTTCTTAAAGGGATTGGTCGTAGACAAAGTCGCCCAAGATTTTATGTAAGGAAGTGCCTTGTTGCGGACGGTTCGATTAACTGCCATATTATGACATAATTTAGATTACTTACCTTAGCTCTAGAATCTTTAGATAAGTTTGTTACATATGTCACACTTTTTAAAGATAGAATTGAAATTAAGATAAAGCTATTGATATGTCTTATTTTATGTATCGTTTCTTTAAATCGAGCTGCGATTGCGTTGTGACCAACGTCAAACGTGTAGAGAAATCGTCATCTTCCATACAACTTATATTTTAAACACTCGTTAATATCTCTTCACTATTTTTAAGTAAATCGAAATCTCTCTATAAAGTTTAAATTGTTTTACTTGAACGCATCTCATTGCTCAAAGTCTGCATTTACCTTTCTCTTACGGGGCGGACTCTAACATTGTTTTATTTTACCTACTTATACGTATTGAAGTAATGATATTTATTTATATATACTTATGATTATAAATTGTGCAGCTTTAATGTTTACTTACAATGATTTTAGATCGTGATTTTGAATCTCGTCATAAGTCACAAATGTCAGTAGCAATAAAATACGTAAATCAGTTTAGTGGTAACGGACGTGTTCGCGGAGCGCCGCCAGCCGATGTCGCTTAGCGTTGTTGTGCAATTTTTAATCAGAGTTTAATAAAAAAATGTGTTTGTATATTGGGACGATGGTTGTGTCGCTGGGGCTGGAACGAACGCGGCGTGCGCTGGCGGCGCGACGCGGACTCGACGCCGCGAGGAGTTAGTCACACTAGTTATGATAAACATCTCGGAAATGTTAGCGCATTCCCGTTATTGAATTCTACTGTACTTAATTTTAAATTGAATAGATGTTACGTTATTCTTTTATATGAATATTTGTAAGTTGTCATAAAAATATTATTAATATAATTATTTTTATCAAAGTTTATAATCTAAATAAAAATGTTTTTCTTCAAAACATCCAAGTTGTTTTTCTTATATGAATTGGCAAATGCATAGCAGATGGTAAGTATTTAAGTATAAAATAGTTTATTCATTAAATAAATGTAAAATATTTACCATATACAGGGTTACTGGGAACTGGACAACTTTCTGGCAGGGAGTGATAGGGGAATCAAAATGCTACAAATTTGAACCCCTCATATGCATGGCCGTAAATGAACAGGTCTTGATATATACGGATTTAAAAAATGTTTAATAATCATCCAGAATTTCATATAAAATTCTAAAAAAAATTAATACCTTTTTTGTATGTTGAAGCTTCAACCAAGCGAATACAGTCATAAAAAGTACAAAAAGAATTCACAATAAAAACTTATGGGTCTTAATAAATATTTTTTTACACTTTATGTGTGAGTAAAAAATTACTATGACATGAGACATAAAAATATTTTAAAAACATGCCCTGTGCAAGCATTTAATCAGCGTAATTTTTTGATGTACGTAATATTTTATGATATATAAAGTGAAGAAAAAAAGAAAAAAAATTATTAAGACCCATAATTTTTTTTAACGCTTTTTGTACTTTTTATGATTGTATTCGCTTGTTGAAGCTTCAAGAACATAAATAAACTTAAAAGGAAGCATACAAAAAAAATATAAATATATGTATACAAACTTGTGGTCGCCTAGTGGTCGTAAATCCGACCGTAGTTCATAAAATTATATTATGAACTAATCATATTCATACTCTCGATACCATCCACACCATCTGGATGATTGGCGGTCAACCACTGTGCGATTTAGAAGATGTTTTCTTCCTCGCACGACTTCCTTGTGGAATCGATTACCATCAGCGATTTTTCCGGACCGATACGACTTAGGGACCTTCAAGAAAAGAGCCTGCTCCTTTTTAAAAGGCCGGCAACGCATCTGCAATTCGCCTGGTTCCCCTGGTGTTGCAGTTGTTCATGGGCCGCGGTAGTCACTTACCATCAGGTGAGCCGCATGCTCGTTTGTATTGTGTGTGTTGTTTGTATTATGTAGTGTCTTATTTGTGTTTGTAAAATAAGTAAAAGACATAACTATTTAATTAAATTGTGTTTAGTGTTTCAACCAAAAGTGACAGCTGTAACGAACAGCTGTCACTTTCGTTACGTTTCGTTTACACTTACTGTACGTGTAATTCTTGTTTTCTCTTTAATATTTTAAGATTTACCTCTTAAGTAAGTGTAGCTCTGGATTTCATTTTGAATTATTTACATGATAATTTAATTTGAGATCTGTGAATAAACCCATAGATATTTTCTTAAATGCTTCTTCGGTTTTCTTTCTTTGTTTTCTTTTGCTATTTACACTTAATAGTAAAATGAATACACGCAACGCCAAAATGGTGCTTCAAGAACTTAAGGCGTCAAAGGAGCAATGTGAGCTGTTGTGTAAAGAAAGGGATGACAAAGAAAAGGAAATAATAAATATAATTGCTAAAAATACTGAGCTTAATAGTGATATCGTTAAGTTGCATAAAGAATATAATTTTGTTTTAACAGAAAGGAATCAACTTCAGAGAACAGTCGATGTGTTTGACCAATGCAGCAAGGAATATGAGGAATCCCTAAGATTAATTGCTCCATTGCAGTTACAGTTAAGTGAAGGTAATGAGCAGATTGTGCAATTAAAACAATACATAGATAACTTGAAAGCGTCCCAGACTCAAAGTCTGTTCAATGAGCTCATAGAATATGAATCTTCTAAAGCATTGCAACCCTCCACAACAATCTATTTGACAGGTGTCACATCAAGAACAGCTGCAAGGATTACCTGCAGTAGAAGAAAATTTAAGAAATATCCTCAAGGGAAATCCCAGAAAATATACAAAATTTGACCTGCTTAAAGTTCAAAAACTTCATTAAACAAAGTTTGTATAAAAAGGGTTATTATAATATTAGGGAATTTGTGGATGATAATAACCCCTGGGAATGAGGTGATCGCTACAATGGTATTTCTAATTTCTTTTGTGTAGTTAATTGTGTAACATATTACATGATTGTAAGCTGCTATTTAAAAAAAAGTCCCGCTGGGTTTCTTGCTGGTTCTTCCCAGGACAGAGGTTATTTTTTCAAACCAGTGGTAATTAAACAAAAGAGTGACTTTCAATAACTTTTATTTATAATCTATATTGAATAAAAAAGTTTCTGTTTCCAATAGTAGAATCTTCGGCGTCGACATATCGAATGACCTGCAGTAACACAGTCACTTGGAAGAGAAAGCTAAGTTGGCTTCTAAAAAGCTGGGTGTACTCAGTGGCGTAGCTATGTAACCAAGGGCCCTGGGGCAAAAATGAAATTGGGGCCCTATTTAAACTAAACTTAATATTTTAAAAGTGCATAACTATTTCATCATCAGCTCCTTGTCGCCCACTGCAAAGCATAATAAAGCAAAGCTATTTACTACTAAGTATTATGTGTAACGCATAAACAATGACGAAGTAGATTATAGTTAACAATATAGGCAGACAATATAACTGTGGAAGAGCCACACGGCAGCTTTTGCTGTCGCACGGGTGGACCAGACTAGATGGAGTGACGATCTGGTAAGACAT